AATTCACGATACCAACCTCACCATCTGAATATTTGGTGGTCCACCACTGTGCGTTTTACTAGGAGTTTTCTTCCTCGTACCAATTCTCTGTGGAATTGTTTTCGATCGCCGATTTTTCCCGACCAATACCTTCAAAAAAGAGCTTACTCCATTCTAAAAGGCCGGCAGCGCACCTGCAATTCCTCTGGTGTTGCAGTTGTATATGGGTGACAATAGTCACCATCAGATGAGCAGAATGCTCGTTTGTCCATTTGTGTATAAAAAAGTGAACTAAGACATATTAAAAGCAAATATTATTTGAAATGGTCACACAAACCCGCAATTACCACGTAACTTAAGAAACCGCTATTTTATTTAAACTTCCGACCGACAGCAATTTTGATAACGCTCATTCTGTGCAAATGTTTTACACCGGCGATTTTTCGGGACCGATACGACTTAGGAAACTTCAAGAAAAGAGCTTACTATTGAAAGGATCAATTCCCTTGCTGTTGCGGTTGTTCGTGGGGGCGGTAGTCTCTTACCAAAAGGTGAGCCGCATGCGCGTATGCCCCCTCTTTTATGTGGACTTTTATATATCACTGCAAAGATATAGTGCTTTGTACTTGTTTTTAGTTCCCCTTCTTTATATGATTTCCGTTTACTGGAGACGTAAGAGCAAAAATGACTTGATGAGTTGATTGTTTTTTCCTATGTAGTGAGTACTGTGTAATGGCAGCGTATGAATATCCACTACCCCATATCGTCCCGTGGATTTTGTAAGAGGTGGGGTAAGGTAGTATGAGGTACCATGAGGTACCGTGAGGACTAAGATGGAATGGACAGCAGCGTCTTCCTACCGCCTGCTAAATGTAGCTATGGCCAATATTCTCTTATATGGCAATCTATGGAGAAAGCTCTTGTTCAGCAATGAACTTTTGATGGGCTGTAACGGTAGACTAATGAGCATGCAGATAGTTTTACCTTATAGTAGGTGTCTACCGACATCCATGAACAACTGGAACATCAATAAGGGCATTGCAGGTGCATTGCCGGCCTTTTATAAGGGAGTCATGAGATGACAAAGAGGTTGTTTTTAGTGGTAAGCTCGCAAAATTGTATCTTGCTAGCTTTTGTTGCTTTAACTATAATATATAGCTACATCGTGACCACCACGTAAAAAAGCTTATCGGAGTTAAAATTTCTCCTTGTAAAATGTTATCTAAATCCCGGCAAAATTGATAAAATCGGAGCAAGCTCCTGTATTTTGAGATTATACGTTGTACGATTAATGGTTGAGTTTTGTTGTGGGAAAATAATGAACTAGATCAAATAACAGGTGTAGATTATTTGGTGCTTGTTATAACAGTTAAGTTAACTAACGAGGATACATATATTTTTATGGTGAGTGTATGGTATGGCCTCTAGAAATTTACATCTATTCCCGTTTAATAATCAAAATACACATACTTTGACACCCACGAGAACTGTGATAGAATACCCGTTAATAGTAAAAAGGTTTCCAGGCTCTTTTCACCCTTATTTTACGTTGGTATACTACTACTAACGCTACTGGTAATACGCACAAAACAAAGATCATGTATAACGTCCATGTCACACCTATTCCGGTAGTTGTTGGGATCACTAAGCTCGAAGTTGTTGACGAGTTTGTTTACCTGGGACAGTTAGTCCGACTAGGTAAGTTCAACTTCGACAGAGGTATCGATCGAAGGCTTAAACTCGGCTGTATAGCGTTCAGGAAATTACGATACATCTTCCCGTCAGGTATACCTCAAAACTTCCAGTGCGCTTGCCAATGATAACTTACGGATCTGAGACGTTGTCCTTCAATGCTGGCCGTATAAGGAAGCTCTAGATTACTCAGCGATCTATGGAGGGGGCTATGCTCAGTGTTTCTTTGCATGATAAACTTAGAAATGAAGATATCGGCAGTAGAACCTAAGTGACCGACATATAATTTACCCACGTATTAGTAAACTGAAGTGAAGAACCATATAGCTCAAATTACCGATAACCGATGGGGATAAGAGTTTATCTAATGGCAGCCTCGTAACGGTAGGCGAAGTATAGGGCGACCCCCCATTAGATAGTAAGGCATGCAAGAAGTCGAAGGCTGCAGGTGGCTCAGGATTGAGCTTAGTGGCATTTCTTGGGGAAGGCCTATTGTTCAGCAGCGGAATTGCGAAGTGTTGTAATGATGATAATGATGATGCTGGACGAGCGTACTCCATCCGCGCTCGAGCTATTCTCTTCGAATCACGGCCATTATACGAAAACCTTGCACCATGGCTCGGTAGCGCTCGGTATTGCGCTGTTGCTTTAATTAAGTAGTAAACATTATCGAATCAGGTAAGCCTCTAACGCAAACAAAAATTAATATTATAATTTCCATGTAGCTTCTTCTGAAGTCGTTCCATAGACTAGTATATCGACAAAATTAATGCTCTTAATTTTGAAATATTCTTTTTTGTTTTGATCTTTGTTTTACCTTTTTAAGTTCATTTAAATTATTTTTCATTTTAAGTGGCCTAAGAAACATTATAAGTTCTTATTAACATTAAGGATGTTGTCTATTTAGACAACCTTCTCGGATAGATCTCATTTCTAGGATAAGTTTTCAGTTTAACTACGTAGTTACATTTAAAACTTTATCCTTATTTTCCCACTTTTTGAGGTTTTACTTTTTCGTTGAATTTATATGGTCCCTACTAACTCCTGAAGTATAAACCTATTTAACCAAAGAAGACTCATTTAAATTAGTTCAGTCTTTTCCAAGAAATCATAAGGGTGACAAACGAGCAAACAATCCACCTGATGGTAAGTAGATGCTGTGACCCATAGACATCTACATAGTACGATTAAGAATCAAAATGCTGAAAGCGTTGTCACCCGTGAGGACTATGATGGAATGGCTAGTTTTAAGTAAAAAAGGTATTTGGTCCTCTACACTCACCATACGAGCATTAAGCTCCTATATTAAGCTTGTATTTTGTGAGGGCGTGATCCTTCGTCTCGGGTCGAGCTGTCCATTTGTGCTACAATCATAAAATAGCTCCACCACCACGCGTGGCTCTACTACGTAAAAACTTATTTTTATTAAACAGACCTAGGCGTGTAGTGACAGTGTAAACATATCTTCTACCCTATATCATCCGGAGGGTGTGGTAAGTGACGGAGAGGCAGCAGAGTCTTCCTAACGACAACTAAAATTAATAAACTGCAGTTGCCAACTCGCTTGCCAAGCGTGGCAACTATGGCATATCCTACCTATGGAGCGTGTAGCTAGTAGATTTTAATAGATTGTAACGGTAACGGTATACAGCTAATAATATATTTTTTTATATCGAAATGAAATTAGTTATCTCATAAAAATCGTCTCGTCTGCGGAAATTATTACATTAATTTCCAAACTTTATAGAACAGTGGTAATTAAAAAGTTTTTTTAAAACAACTTTAAATGAAAAAAGCGCTATCAATCGAAAGTGGCCGCCTCAGGAATAAACTGGAATGACTACCACTGATGAATATACTAGTTTTATTTAGCCTTCACACGAAACACATAAATAAAACTTTATTTCTAAGTCTCAACAACATTTAGGAGATTTTTATATTTATTGCCATTATAAACAATAATGTACACACATTTGAAATGTGCCAATTTAAAGATTACATTTAAACATTTTTAATTGTATATCATTTTAAATACGTTGCTAAACGTGTTTTATTATGTAAATTCTATTGGTCGGATATTTATTCTGGTTACATCGTTGTTCCATTATTCCGGTTTATGTCTGAAGTCTAAGAATATTTCATAATAAACTATAGTTGATGTCATATGTATTTTTCTTGTTGTTTAGACGACCACGTGATAAAAGTTTTAACTGCTACCAAAATCAAGTACGCCAAACTGCACTGAAGCAGAGAGGCAGATTCTTGTTTGGTCTATAATCCTGTAAAATGCCTGTGTTTTGTTAACTTGGATACTTATGAATTTATAACGAATATAAAGTTAAAATTAATCCACTTTTTAAATAGAATATGGCGATCGAAGTAGTAAAATTTTATAAAAACAACGGTATGGTAGTAGAGTTGTTCTCTACAATACTTTTGTAATTGTAAAACTTACTATCATTGAACGGAAACCAAATAACATTTTACCTTCATTTTTAAAATTATGTTATAAGGTTTCTATTTTATGAAAGAAGTTTATAAAACCATGATAGTATATTTATACGATATTTTTAAATAGATTAAAAGCAAACATAGGCTCTATGCGTGTGTTATAAAAATAAATAAAAACAATGGGTTTGTATTGCATTGTATTAATATACACAAAGTATGTGCTTTTAAAAACTTTACATCTAAAATTGTTTATCTCAAAAAATACATTTTATAAGTAAAAAAGAAGTATTTATACACTAAATAATAATAATGATATTGTCGTTTGGTTCCAAATGTAAAATATATTATTATTTTTTTGCTTTTATTAAAAGTATGTAATCAAGTATTATGCGACTCTACATTTAAATAACTTCTCAAAAAAACGTGCGTAAAAAGTACGCAGGATAAAATGAAACACTATATTAAATGGACGTTTTAATTTCTTTGAATTGCACAAATTGTTAGAAATCTCTAATGCCTTTTAGTTACATCTAATGGCATCAATTTATTAATGACGCTTCTGAAGCTCTTTTGCATTGATGACTTTGTGTAATGATCATTAAAACATAATGAACAAGAAATGTACGTGTAAAACTGGTGCGTTCACAACCCTGGCTCGATCGCGAAGTCTAGATACGCGCATGAGCGGTCGAATTGTATATTTACTATCTGTACATGTTCCGTGAAAATAAGCTCAGTGCTCAGTCCGTACGCCGCTGTCCGTAGCGCGGCCGCGCGCCGCTAGCGACTTTAAAAAAACAAAAGTCACTAGTGCTGCACAGGTTAAAATAAAAGTGCACGTGAATCACAGTGTAACATCACTTTTTATGTTTTTAAAAATGAGGCGTAACGTCAAAATATTGTTCCTGGTCGGTGTTGCATGGTTTTTCGTGTTGTTCTATTTCATGCAAACCGATTCGGCGCAGGCAAAGGTAGGTTGTTGAATGTTTGGTACGGTGTATTGTTTATCGGTTATCAGCTGTTAGGTTAGAGAACGCTGCAATCTCTGGCACTGCACTGCGCATGACCTGTGCTGCCCACGCGTTATGATAACTGCAGGGGTTACGTTACTGATAATCGGTCAATATTATATTTTTTAATTTAATATTTAAAACAAATGATAATTTTTTGGATTAGTAATAGTTGACAAAAAGTGGATATGCTAACAAAAGGAGTTACGAAATTCTTAAATTTATAAATATTTATCTGTTCATTCTAATATGATTATATAAATATTATTTAGTTTATTTTTACTCAACTATTACATCTATTCAAATAATGTTTATTTATTACTCCACGCTTGCATCATTTGCTTTCTGATTATTTTAATAATATTGTTAGAATATATAATAAACAATTACTAATGATTGCAAGGAAATAATTACCGTTACAACATTATACGTAAATCATTAATATGTTTTAAATAATACATATTACATATCTGAGGCTACTGTAGCCGTCGTAGCTCAGAGCCTAAGCGCTTGCCATACATTTCACAGCACGCAAGCAACCCAGGTTAGATCCCCGTTGGCACCAATGTAATTGTTAGTATTGGTTTTGAAAAATGATTTAGACCTGTTTGATAGCGACATAAAATATCGCGGGGAAACCTACGTGTCTAATAAATTAAAAAATATGTTTCGAACACATGTTAAGTCCGCCTATACTCATTGGGGCAGAACGTTAGGTAATTCTTTGCTCTAAAACCCCTACAGAAATGATAGAAGGCATGTGCACATAGTGGTACTAATTGTACGAATGGGTCGACTCGACCGGGGAAGGACTACGCTCTATCGTTACATAGTAGCTCAATGTTGCTGTGTTTCGTATGGTGAGCGTAGAGATCATTTTTATTGAAAACCAAGCATTCCATCAGTCATCAAGGGTGACAACTCATCTGGATTTTGATTCTTGATTAAGGATAAATGTAGATACCTATGGACTACAACATCCATCATCATCATCATCATTTCAGCCCTCCACAAGTCCACTGCTGAACATAGGCCTCCCCCAAGTAATGCCACAAAGCACGGTCCTGAGCCACCTGCATCCATCGACTTCCTGCATGTCTTACCAGGTCGTCACTCCATCTAGTGGGGGGTCGCCCTACACTACGCCTACCGGTACGAGACTGCCACTCGAGAACCTTTCTTCCCCATCGGTTATCGGTTCTTCGAGCTATATGGCCGGCCCATTGCCACTTCAGCTTACTAATCCGTTGGGCTATATCGGTCACTCTGGTTTTACTGCGGATATCCCCATTTCTGAGTCTATCACGCAGAGAAACTCCGAGCATAGCCTTCTCCATAGCTCGCTGACCGACCTTGAGCATCCTCATACGGCCAGCAGTGAAGGACCACGTCTCAGATCCGTAAGTCATCACTGGCAACACGCACTGGTTGTACACTTTAGTTTTCAGAGATTGAGGTATACCTGACGAGAAGATGTGTCGTAATTTCCCGAACGCTGCCCAGCCGAGTTGAATCCGTCGATTGACCTCTCGGTCGAAGTTGGACTTACCTAGTCGGACTATTTGTCCCAGGTAAACGTACTCGTCAACAACTTCGAGCATAGTGCTCCCAACAACTACCGGCATAGGTGTGACATGGACATTAAACATGATCTTTGTTTTGTCCATGTTCATCTTAAGACCTATCCGTTGGGAGGCACCATTGAGGTCATTTAGCATAGTGCTAAAGTCCTCCAGCGATTCTGCCATAAGGACTATATCGTCGGCAAATCGAAAGTGAGTGATGTACTCGCCATTGATGTTAATAACGTATCCTTTCCAGTCCAGTAGCTTGAAAACGTCTTCCAACGCAGCGGTGAAGAGTTTCGGGGATGTAACGTCACCCTGTCTTACACCTCTCTGCAGTTGGATAGGCTTAGAGCTATGGTTCTGTACTCGGATAGCCATCGTAGCCCTACTGTACAAACACTTCAGCACTTCGATGTACCGACAGTCAACATGGCACCGCTGAAGGGACTGTAGCACCGCCCAAATTTCGACGGAATCAAAGGCTTTCTCATAGTCCACATACGCCAGGCAAAGTGGCAGATTGTACTCTTGGGTCTTCTGTACAATCTGCCGCAGGGTATGTATGTGGTCTATGGTACTGAAGCCTTTTCGGAAACCGGCTTGTTCGGGAGGCTGGAAGTCGTTGAGTCTGCGTGCGAGACGATTCGTAATGACTCTCGAGAACAGCACGTAGACGCGGCTCAGAAGGGAAATCGGTCTGTAGTTCTTCAAGAGAGCGTTGTCGCCTTTCTTAAAGAACAAGACCACCGCACTTCTACTCCGCGCCTTCGGAGTAGTGCCACCATGGAGGACGGAATTGAAGAGCTTCTGAAGGACTTCTAGTACCGGTGTTCCACCCGCTTTCAGAAGCTCCGCTGTAATTCCATCCTCGCCTGGGGCCCTGCCGTTTTTAAGGTGCTGGAGAGCCATTCTAATCTCGCTCAGACTGACGTCCGGGATATCATCGGAATAGTCCACAACACCCACTTACCGTCAATTTATGTGTAATCGGAACTATGTTCTTTTTTGTCACCGTTATTCAATAAAAAAATAGAAGAGTATGTTTTATTTCGTCAAGAAGTTTTTGCGAAAACTTTAATGAGAAAATATATAGATAGTGCGATTTAAATAAAAAAATCAAATAACGGCTGGAAAAATTAAGTCAAGAGCAGGATGTACAAACGATGTTATCTTTAATTCATGAACAGAATGAGTCCTATTGGGCTCACAAAGTCAAAATCAAAAACTTTTTCATTCAATTTAAAATGTTGTGTATAGCTCTAATGAACGTCGAAATCTACACAGATTCGCGAAAACAAGATGTTACTATTTCTTTTACAACTTTTGATAAAATAAATATAATTTCAAATGTCTACATTTATATTTTTAAATGCCAGTTTCAACAATTTGTCAGTAATCTACAAGTACACAAAACAAGTTATTTCCAGACAATGTCCCAATATATAGATCTATTTTACGGAAAGTTTATTTTAACAAAATGTCTGTGATTATTATTATATTTCTACAGATTTTATTGTAAAAATGTTTACTTATATGGTAATGATGATTATTAAATTAAATATATTTCCTATTTGTTCTGATTAAATACAAATTTTAAGTTGTTATACGTAACAATGTACGTTTAGAGGAACTTATTGATATAATAGAAATATGATATTGTTACCAAATTAATCATTACATAACGAAATAAAATATAGAAAGTGCGTTATTTTTAGTTACACATCCACCTTGACCCGACACATAAGCACGGTAATTTTATCTATAATATTACGCGTGACATAACCGTCTAAGATTTGAGAGCATTCCGCGAACGCTACTGTCACGGAATCGTTATGTTTCACAAGTATGACCGCAGCATATCACATTCCTAATCTTTATAAATGGCCAATGGAGTGCGTGAGCTGGGCCACAATTTTCTTCTTATATTTATGAAAAAAAAACTGCAGTATAAGACAAAAAAGACGTAAAGTTTATAACTTGGTTGATTCTTGTTAAATTATTAGAGAGCTTTTAATATTATAAGACTTATTACAACGTTGTGAAGCACCGACGATCCAAGAAGTCTGCAATCTGTAAACATGTTCAAGATCATCCCTGCCACTAAATCAGATTTGATAGACAAATCTTCGGAAAATAACACCGATTCGTATCCAAGTTGATTCGCTAGGCTATTGAAATTATAAGAAAACATCCTTATTTTAATACAAAAGATGAATGGGTGCTACCATCTGCTTGGGATCCTAGAGTTAATAAAATTAAATCCGAACCCAAGCATACCAAACAAAAATTAATATGCAAAAGCTGAAGGTGACCACGAGTACTGTAAAGCACCTGAAACGTCGGTAATGAAAACGGTAAAATTAAAAGCTATAAAAACCTCAAAATTAATTTCATTTAATGTGTAGTATAACCGTAAAACTATTATTAGACCCATTATAATTTTGATTTATTTAATTACATAATACCTAATTTTCAGTAGCATGGTAAGTCTAGTGCTAGACTTGTACAACTCCCGCAGTAGGCAGGATGTGCCTTCATTGTCACGCATGGCAGACGGGTTGACGATACAGTACCAGAGGTCAAACACTTTTGACGCTGAAGAAACCTACGCGAACCATAACTTGCACATGTTGTCCATACATAAATAAGCATTTTCCACCATTACTATTACTATTCTTAGAGTTATTGGAATTCTAGAGCGGAAACAGCGCTGTTTAAATCGATGAGAAAACCAATTTACTGAAAACCTGACGGAAGAAAAAAATGTTCAGGATTTTAAACTCTATATTTTTACGTATTTTTCATTTGTAGATAGATGCAAGAAAAAAAAGTCACATAAAATTTCTTTGGGAATTCGTCATTGTCTTTTATGTCTGATTTTTTTCCTTTCTGATTTATTCACAAGGTCCGTTCAGAATATAGATATTATAACCTCTGGTGGTTATATATATAGTCTTTAGTTGAGAATCACCTTGCGTTGCCATTTCTACGGCATCCGCTTGCACTGATTAATTTGGTTAAATTACACAAATATATATATATATATATATATATATATATATATAAAATATATATGTGTATGTGCTGCATGTGTGTGTGTGCGTGTGTGTGTGTGTGTGTGTGTGTGTGTGTGTGTGTGTGTGTGTGTGTGTGTGTACTTTATATGTTTTCACTAGGTATAGCCTCGCAGCAACAATATTATAGTTGTAGCGCGAATGGGTGTTTAAATGATCTGTGACCAGTGAGTGCTGGTTACTTTGCTAATTATAAACGTTCGCATTATTTCAGTTTTATTAAGATTTAATTTTATCTTTTATTGCTAAATAATTACCTACCTCAATATTCCCAAAGCTTCATCGCTTTTGCATAACTAATATTAAAATAAAAAATAAA